CTCCCTCCCTCCCTTTCTTTCTTTCTTTCTTTCTTTCTTTCTTTCTTTCTTTCTTTCTTTCTTTCTTTCTTTCGTGAAATAACTTGCAAAAGTGGGTTGCAAATGTCAGATGGGATTTCCTGTTAACTACTGATTCATGGTGGCTTTGTAAAGAAATGGAAGAGTATTGCAGATTTTTTGGCAAAATTATTTGGGGTAAAATTTATTTTGATGATGATGATGATGATAGTAGCAGCACGGGGGGGGAACATCATGTTCTGTTTTGGATGACATAATTTTTCACTTTTCTACTCTTTTAATCTTTCTGTTCTGTAATTTCTTTTAATATTCAGCGGTCTCTTATGAGCTATAAATCAGTGCTTGTAATGAGACCCATCCCAGAAATCCTGGAAAAGCATCATAAAAACACCTCTCTTGGCATCTCCCGACAACTGGTAGAAGAGAGTAGTTCATCCAGCACCAGTGGGTCATCTTCAGACAATGAAATTTCAGTCTCCTCAGGAAGAAAACCATTTGGTCCCATTCCAGAACTTCATTTATCTGTGCTAGAGGGATCAAATTATCCAGAATATGAAGAATTTGGAGCTGAATTTAAAATTCCTGAAGACTCCATGCCACCAATTAAAAGACTGAAACAAACTTCAGCAAAGGGACAGTTGGATGAACAGCCTGTACAAGAACAAGAAACATCAGTGTACCAGCAGCCTGAGACACATGGCAAAGAACTGTTTGAGTTAGCTTCACTGCAAGATAAAGCTGGATTGTTGCTACCAGAAGAAGGCAGAATGGAAAGATCTCCAGGATGTGTCCCAAGACACAGTGTCATAAAAAGTACTTTTTACAGTCAACCATCTGTCGGTCTGACAGATGCTCCCTCCTCACCAGGGAAAGAGCAAAGGAAACAGCTAGAAAAAGCAAAGAGATCTTACAGGAAAGCAGGATATTCGAAGTCCGCTTTAAGTGGTCTACGGGAACCCCTATTAGAACAGTTTGAATTTGGTGGGGAAGGAGGATCATTAGCAGATGCAGAGTTTGGGAAGGGCAGAGAGGGAGGTAATGGTCCCCTAATGACGAAATCAGCTTCTTTTGATACTGCACAGAAATCACCAAAAGTTACTTTCCAAGTTTCCACTAGAAGCCGTTCTTTGGATGACTACAGAATAAGAGCTACAGGCTTTGCTGAGGAACAGGATATTGCAGAAGAGGACATGGACATCATTCCCCAGGGCAGTCTGGCAGAAGTAACTCATCTGAGGGATGAAGAGGCCTTTGCAACAAAAACTAGGGAGGGTTTCTCTGAGGAACAGCCAATGTTAGTCACACTTGATGAAAAGGAAAGCTCCAGTCTGAGCCTTCAACAGCAAGAAAAGGCCTTGGTTTGGGCACAGGGTCCTGAAAAAGATGAGGATTTACTTCAGAAACAGAAGGCACCTCTTTTTGTGGGACAGTCTCTTCAAGGCAGTGAAGATCTGATTCTAGCTGCTCAGAAGCCAGGTTTAACTTCAGGGTTGGTCCCAAAATGTGATATTGAGGAAGGTCAGACATCCCTGTCTTCTACTCACAGGGATATGGGAGCCATTTTTCAGAAGGGAGAAAGCTCCGTTTTGAGAGATGCACAGTCGGAGACAACCAACTTAGTGTCTCAGGACCACAAGGAGGAAAAACTGTCCCATGAGACAAAACCAAGTTCTCCCAAGAGTGAAGAAGACCATACACCTCAGCAAGAGGAAAGTTTTCATCTTCTGAAATCAGTTCCTTTTCACATCACTCATGTTCAGGCTGAGAAACAGCTTGCTGGCGCTCCAGACAAGAGTCCAAAAACGCTACGGACTGTGGCAATGAGTGAAGGCCATTTACCTGGGTATCAGAAGCCTTTGGTTTACCCTGAAACACAAACAGTGGAGAGTAGAAGTTCAGGTGCTCCCATTTTGCACACTGACATTTCTGCCTCCTCCATCCCTGAAGAGGAGCAGCAAATTCTGTCCCAGGAACCCTCAGGACTCAGCTTGGCAAAGTCAGCTATGCTAGAGAATAAAGGCCTAGAGAATTTAAACTTTCCTCAGGCAAAAATGGCCCCAACTTCAGTCTCTGAGAGTGCAGAACAGAAGCATTTACATCAGTTGCCCGTTGCATATACTGAAAGGAAGCTACCTGTTACAAAAGGAGAAGGTCCTGTTCATCCAGAAATGGCCCTCATGGGAGAAGGCCAGCACCCTTCACAACAGGAGTCTCCTGTTTACAGCAAGCCATCTTCTAGTGCCCCGAGAAGTGCTGCTTCCTTTATTCAAGCAGCTTTCCAACCAGGAGCCACCTCAATATCCCTACTTCATGGAGAAACCCAGATGGCCTCACTTCCAAAGCCCTCCATTTACCCGGAAGGAGAGTCTCTTCACAGAGAAGTTCAGAGCCCTCCTCAGCAAGCAGAAACATTGACTTCTGCCTATGAAAGTCAGGATTGGGGGCATGGAAAGTCTCTGAAAACCAGTGAATTTGCTTCTGTCATCCCAAAGGGCCAAAGACCACAAATCAAAACAGATCTTACATCTGTCTTTGAAGCTGAGAACCATGAGCTCTACCCCCATGTCCCATCTGCTCCTAGTGAGGTTAAGTCAGCTATCCTCAAGAGCCAAACACCCTCTGTAGCAGGCTTTTCTCAAGCAAAAATTAGGCCTTTTTCAACCTCTAGGGAAAAAATCCCTGTAACTGTTAAGAAAACACCATATTCCATTGGTGAAGGAAAAAGCAAGGAGCATATGATGCATGAAAAGCTGTCTCTTTACAGCGACCCAGAGGCTCAAGCTCTGGAAGACTTATCAGAGGAGATGGCTTACCTACCTAAAGCAACAACTCCTTTGGCAGAGTCAATCCCTGCTCCAGAAGGCTCCAAGAGATATATTTCACCACAAGGAGAGATGTTCTATCAAGATTCATCTGGGCAAGCAGTAAGACCAAAAGGCAGGTATCTTGTGCGCAGAGGAAAAAGAGAAGGAGGGATTGGCCTAGCAGATCCTACAGAAGCAGATATTATATATCCTGGGGAAGAAGATTATTTCAGTGTCCAGTCTTACCTGAGCAAGAAAGTCAGGATGTCATCTCCTTATGAAGGCCAAGGCCTGGATTATACAGGTGCAGAAACATCCACAGCATCTCTGTTTGATAGATTGTCCTACTATGCTGGCCGCCAAGGAAGTAACTGGATGTATGAAATTGCCCTTGTGCAGATCCAGGACCTCTCAGAGTTGCCTCGTCCTGATAGCAAGACAGCAAAATTTGATATCTCTGAAGTGGAGCCAGCCTTCCTCAATCTGCACGAACTCTATGACATTGTGTATTCCCCATTTGAGTTCCTTAGCTTCCGGAAAGCTCCTGAGAACCTACCCAGCAAAAGACATTTGCCACCTGGATTCAACCTTCATTCTCAGCAGGATAAAAAAATATGTCTCAGGGAAGATAATTTGCAAGGTAAGGCCATTAGGAAACCTTTTGGAGAAGAAGAAAAAGGGGCTGTCAAGGTCGAGGTAGGTCCAGAACCAGCCATAGCACCACGAATAGGGAAAAGGTCCGACTCAGAAGGTGATCTACCAATTGGATCCCAGCAAATGTATGATCTCCCATCAGATCCAACTAGGAAGAGGAAAAGTTCTCTGCAGAGTGCATTAGGACTCTTTAAGCCAGTTGTCCGGTCTCAGTCCATGGAACAGGTGGAACAAAGTCTAAAGAAGAGGATGAAAACATCAGTGGCCCACTTTTCGAGGATGTTGACAAGAAAATTGTCCAGTGAGGAGCACAGGGAAGGTAATGACTTTGTTCCATGACTGACATGAACCAAAGGGATGTAGTGAATGTTTTGTTAATCCTTCTGCAGGAGAAAGACAATACTCAGGAAATGAGACCAAACCGAAAAAGTGTCACCAGGCATCTGAAAACCCATTGCAGCTCCCTTTAAATATAACTATAAACAACAGAATCAGTTTCCTGACAGATTTAATTATTTCACTCCTTTAAATATTTTTTGGTATGGGGTGTTCTTTTACAAAATCTCAGTTTTTAGGTGCTCCCACCTACTTTAGGTGTCCCATCCCAACTAAAGCTCCAACACTAACATGGCCATCAGAGGCGCCCACCCTGCAAATGCCCCTAGTAACATAAAGGAAGGTAGAGATGTCCCTGGTGAAGGAATGGATGGACTGTTAAGGAAGGAGAAACTGGGAAAAGGGAAACTGTGAGAAAGGAACTCAAAATTACCTGGCTTGATTCTGTTGGCATAAGAAAAGGCAGAGAGATAATCTGGCAGGCTTCCAAAATTCTGTTATCCTACCCTACAGCAATAAAGTAGCATCCCTGGAATCCTTGTGGTGTCTGTTTCCTGACCCTCCTCAAAGGGCTGACAGGTAGCCACCAATTATTGTCTTAATCAAGCTCCCAAAAGCCAGTCCAAGATATTTATCAGGGACATCCTGGGGTGGGGGGTGAAGGTCAAGAAAAGGATGGAGCTTCAGTTTCATGATTGCAACCATCCCTTACCTTTATGGTGGTCCTCTCCTTTTCAAGACTCTGAGGAGCCCAAGAGCGAGCAAGCAGAGAGAACATCCTTGACTGAACCTTCTCCAACTTCAAAAAAGAAAAGAATGTTCCCTTCATTCACCCTTCCAAGCCTCAAGACAAAGGACAAAGGTACTTTGAATGTAGAGGTCAGCTTTTTATATCAAAACTAGTGGAGGGGGAACCTAAGTAAGATTGGGATGTTGGAGTGTAGAAGGGGGGCTTTCAGGGAGGATTTAGTTCAGTGGTAGAGCACATGCTTTCGGGGGATAAGGTCCTGGGCTTGATCTCTGCCTTCTGCCTTTATTTTTAACCCATGTCCCAAACAGTGGGAGTGTTTGGTCTAGAAATGCACTGAATAATAAATAAATATAAATGTGTTGAATGAATGAATGAATGAATGAATGAATGAATGAATGAATGAATGAATGAAAACTAAACACCTGGGAATGTGGCTTCAATTGTTAAATGTGGGGGGGGGGAGAGGTAGATATGCTGTATAGTATTGCTTGTGTTAATTTGTACTGATAGTTGGTTACAATTGTTCCAGTGTATGGTGCTTAGAGCCATTTAGACTCAAGCCGCATATAAGTCTAATAAATAAATACCATAAATATTAGATAGTCCAAAGCTTTTAAATGAGGACAAATAGCACTGATATAAAGAACCAAATAGGATATCTGGAGTGCAGTCTGGAAAAGTGGCAGTGAGAAAGAATGTGGATTGTTTTCCTTGTCTCCATTTGTGTCAAAATACATGTAAGAAGTTGGGTTGAGGCTGAGAATGAACAAGGAACACCTCTAAACACAAATGATCAGCAGATAGAAGATGCCATTCCATCAAATAAAAAGACTCTTCATCCATCATGAAAAAAATCTGGGAAAAAGAGCTCTAAAAGTTTTAAAGAGATCTTACCTTAATAAATTCACTAATAAAGGGAGGTTGGAAGGTTCCTCTCTCAATTCTCAAGAGTCTGTACTCTAACCCCAAATTCTTGGCTTTCAAACTCATTCCAGAAAGTCAGTGCAAACCTTGTTTCCTTGGTTGTATTCTGCAGTTAAGGGGCTAAACACACCCTCAGCAAATATCCCATGGCAATAATGAAACTAGCCAAGAACCCCCCGGGCCGCTGCATTTTGTCCCAGTAGTACTTCTGAATGGTCTTCAGGGGGAGCCCCATGTAGCAAAAGTTACAGTAGTCTAGCCATGAAGTGAAAAAGAGGGCTGGAAAGTTCCACTTTCAGTTCTCAAGATTCTGGACTCTGTTCCCTAATTCTTGACATTCCAACAATTTTAGAAAGTCCAAGTGAACCTTCCTTCCTTGATTGTGCTTGTCAGTTAAGGGATTGATGACTCCCCAAAGTAAAATCAGCACATTTTCAGTATCAATGCTTTCAAACTCACTAATGAGCTCATGGGGGGAAACTCCCCCACTTCCTTCTCCTCTCCAGGACCTTTTTTTGTAGAAGAGCTCACCGATCAGACAGTTGCAATAGGACAATCTCTGACTCTTTCCTGCCGGACCTCTGCCCATTCCTTCTCTCGTGTTGAATGGTTCAAAGGTAATGTAGCTTCTCAGTATCAGGGATGGCCAAGCTGGCAGAATATTCCTTCTCTCCAGGTCCCTGTTCATCTCCTGGCTCCTTACTCAATTCCCTTTCCACCCGTTGTCATCGACATAACATGCAATTATTTGCAGATGCAGATGTGGAGGAAGTGAATGAGGCTACTGGAATGTATGTCTGAAATGGTAGGGGAGCACAGCCTTTCTTTCAATTAAAGGAGCCTCCCAAATTTTCCTAAATAGAAGTCCTCAGATCTGTTGGGCCTTAGTTGTTATAACCCCCAGGCATGCGGCTGAAGGAGTATTATAAAAATTAGAATCTAACACAATAGGACAGCACCAGAGTAGCAAAAGCTGAAGAGATTTATCTACTCTTAGATTGAGATTCCCACCTTTATTTTGCACAACTCTCAGTGCTCTACATAATATTCCCTCCACTGCTTTTCCCCATAACAAAAACCCTATGAGGTGGGTTGGGCTGAGCGGGAGGGACTGGCCCAAAGTCACCCAGGCATCTCCCATGACTAAGGAAGGGCTAGGACTACAATCTCCTGGTTTCTAGTCCAGCACCTTCCCCTCTACACCAGATTGACTCTCTATAACATGCTTGTTCTGAAATACAGGGTTTTCAGCATTCATCTCTTCATGCAATGTCAGGGCAAAGAAGAGTTACACTGATCACAGGAGGGATTACAGTATGTGACCAACTTCATCCTCAGTAGGAACTATCAGATGTACATAGCCAGATGTTATTTTATGGGGCTCAAACCCTGCACCGGGAATTGAACTCATGAATCTTTGCACTTTAGATGACTATATACAGTACCTTAGCTATAACAGCTATCCACATCCTGCTTCCAGGCTGGTTCCAAACTGTCTAACAAGACATGCATTTTGCTATCCCTTGACATTGCCTGCTCCTTTTAAAGCTTTCTGTTCTTTTTAGGGTTGTGTGGTGCTTTGGATCAAAAGCAAAAGGGTGCTTTGGCAAACATGAGGATGTTCACACCACAGTCTGCAGCTCTTTAAAGCAGGGGTATTTTTTTTCCCAGGGTGGGGTGGCAGCCCTCTGCAACTGCCGTTTGATCCTGGGAAAAAATGCATTTGGCTGAAAGATTTGCTGATAGATGCTACAGGTGTGCCTCTGCACATGCCGAAGCACCTGCTGGAAACTGAAGGGCTGCACAGTCTTAATTATTCCTCTAAGGGTAGTCTAATCTTTTTATTCCAAAAGGATGTCCTTTGTCCAGAGGAAAGAGATTTTCAAGCTATATTCCTTACAATTTGGTGAGCTACTACTGTATGTGGCTGGGATGCCAGATATTTCAGAGAGATTTACCTGTGGTTTTGTGCCATCACCAAATTCTTTGCAGCTTTTTATTTCTGTCTTCCAGATGGAGCTGGAATTTGCAGCACAGACCGGATCCTAATTTCATCTACCCTGAAACGCTTCCAGCTTTTAACTGTGTTATCTGCTACAATGGAAGACTTTGGCATGTACACCTGCACAGCTACTGGTTCCCATGGCGCCATTTCCACCTCCTGCACTATAAGGAAAGCAGGTAAAAGAAGGTCTTTTCCCCTTGCACCCGAGGATACGAAAATGCTGCAACCTGTCACATCGTCTCCACCCGTCAGAAGGAGTGGGTCCAGAAATGGGCATTTGGAGGGGTTTTACGGAAGGAAAAGTATCTCTCCTTGTGCTGCCTGAGGGCATCCCACCCTTAAAATCTCTCCAAAAATTAAGGCAATCTTTCCTTGGGGATTAAAGGGGATTTCACCCTTCAGCTTTCTCCCAAATCCCCCCCTTTGGCCCCATTGATTTCCTTCATCTTTCTTTTCCAACAGTTCTATCTTTTGTTTGTTTATTTATCTGTTTATTGTCTATCTATCTATCAATCAATCCATCCATCCATTTCTCACTCTCCATCTCTCTTTCCATTCATCTAATTTCATATAGACATTATCTATCTATCTATCTATCTATCTATCTATCTATCTATCTATCTATCTATCTATCTATCTATCTATCT